ATTTCCAGTGAGCGTACATACCCTACGTTGTGGGTACAATCCCCAGTTGAAATGCATCCGGGAGGCAACCAATCAATGGTTCTCTCTCATACTGATGTTTCTCTCCTTTCTTCTCTCCCCCGCCCCCCCCCCACGCCCCTTCCTCTCTCTCTCAACTCAATAAAAACATATCCTCTGGCAAGGATTTAAAAACCCTTGCCTTTTCTTACTCAACATTACAACAACATAAGCTTCTTTAACTAATTTAGTTTTAGTCAAAAGGTGACAATTGTATGCAGTGAGAAAAAAACCTTTCCTCTGCTAGTTTAGCTTTTTTTCTTTTTTGTCAGGGGAAAATACACTTATAAAACAATTCACCAGATAAGCTCTAATTTAGGGGTTATCCTGCATAGTTTGGACAGCACATATATAACTCTGAAATCTAAAATCTTTAACCCCTGTCTGCAGGCTCCAATTAGCTCAATTCTAGAAAATAAACTTGAAAATAAGCTAAATAGCTAGCACATTAAGTTCCTCTTAACTGCCAGGTGGCAAGCTATTCTGAAGCTGTTTAGATTTGTGGTTGAGCCTCAAACCATGTCTCTGGACAGCATGCTGCTGGAGGCAGAACACGTTAAATTTAATGTCTGTGCACTTTAAAACAACGCGGCCCATTTTTATTGCCAGGGTCACCTACCCTTACGACTTACTGTACTTTTTTGGTGTATAAAACAGTAATGTTTACTTAATCCGACTGATTTTGGGAATACATAATTGAGCCAACATGAAAACTGAGTCAATAAGAAAACTAATGCTTATAAACTAGTAACAAACAGCCTTTTCTCCCCGCTCCCCCTAATATGTGTACCAAATAAATTTAACTTAGAACTGAACTAAATATAAAACACTTCGAAAAGAAGAAAAAGAACATGATGCTTACTAAGATTTCTGGCATGATCTAGAGAACATGTTCAGGAACTGACCTCTATAGAAAGCACAGAGCATTTCAATGGCTGTGCCTGAAAACCTTTCTCTAAGTTGTTCTGCAGCATTCTGTAAAGTTTCACCTGGTAGCATGTAAATTTTTTGTCAACTTGTGTGTTTTTCTATAGCTAAGAATTTTAAAAGGCCAGAATAACAATTTTAAAACAATGAAGGTACTTTTTTCTTCTTGAATGAAGAATTGCCTTTTCTTCACAATTCACAGAGAAGAAAAAAAAATCCATAAGCTCAAAACTCCCCTATCTTCCTGCCACCAAATCTACAAATGCACTTGTATCCTCTCCATCCTCCCTCCTGTTACAATAGAAGCAGTGGGCCTTCTCTTATCTGAGGCCAATCTCACCACCACCACCACCATCACCCCGTCCCCAGGACCCCCTTCCCAGGGACCTTGATGCTGTCAGTATCCCCTCCTGTCTGTAATTTCAATCTGTGTGTGTGTGTGTGTGTGTGTGTGTGTGTGTGTCCTGGATCCAAACTAGTGGTATTTAAGCATGCTCTAGCATCGTTTGTCTTAAAAACCACAATAAATAACACTTCCAGCCCCAAGCCCCACATTCCTCTCTGGCTAAGTCTCTCTTTAATACTCTCCAGAACCAAGTATCTCAAAAGTTATCTTCACTCGCATCCATTCCTCAACCCATTCTCGTCTGGCTTCTTCAACCAAATCTCCACCAAAATTTCTCTTTACAAGAATACTAGCTGATCAGTCAGATCTGACAAATACCCCTTTAAGGACCTTCTCTCGGCTTCCATTCCACCACATGTTCCAAGGTTTTCTCCTGGTTTTTCTTCTGGCTGTTCCTCCTCCGTACCCTTTCTTAGCAACCCCTTCTCTACCCATCCTCTAAGTTTTGGAGTTTTTCAGGTCTCACTCTTCCTCTCTCTCCAGTCTACAATCTCCCCTAAGGTGATCTCTTCTACAACTGGTCATTAAATGTCATCTAAGTACCAATGATGCTAAGATTTTTATCTGCAGTCTAGACATCTTTTCCAAGTTCCAGACCCATACCCCACTGATGACATAAAATAGAGGTTTACATGAGCATAGAGGCCAGACTGCATGGGGGTCAAAACTAGTTCTTCTACTTACTTCCTAGGTAACCCTAAGCAAGTTGATGACCCTAAGACTCAGTTTCCTCAGCTGAAAATTGGAATAATAGTAGTATTCACTTCATAAGCTTATTGTGTGGATTAAATGAGTTGATGAAAGCACTTACTATGTAGCATATAGTAAGCTTTCATTATTCATGATTAATATCACAAGATATGACCATTAAAATATGTCAAAGACATCTCAAACTTTATATAAAACAGGATCATTTTTTTCTTGCTCACCCCATATGCATCACCTCTGGTTTGCCATCTGTGAATTCTAAGGCAGATTTCTAAGATGACCCCAATGACCCTTTGCATGACCTCCTGGCCCTTGAGTGAGTGAATATAAGATACCACTCTTGTGATAAAGGAACTTTGCATATGTAATTAGACATAATTAAGGTCCCAAATCAGTTGACAATTATGAGAAAGATTATCTAGGCCAGGGGTGGGCAAACTTTTTGACTCGAGGGCCACAATGGGTTCTTAAACTGGACCGGAGGGCTGGAACAAAAGCATGGATGGAGTGTTTGTGTGAACTAATATAAATTCAAAGTAAACATCATTACATAAAAGGGTACGGTCTTTTTTTTTTTTTAGTTTTATTCATTTCAAACGGGCCGGATTCGGCCCGCGGGCCGTAGTTTGCCCACGGCTGATCTAGGCTGACCTGACCTAATCACATAAGGCCTAGAGGTCAGAGAAGGGGATCTAAAAATCAGAGTCAAAGCATGGAAAGGATTTAACACACATTTGCTGGCCTCGACATCAAGGAGCCAAATAAGAAAAAAATGCAGATGGTCTCTAGGAGCTGACAAAGAACCCTCACTGACAACCAGCAAGAAAACGGGGACCTCAGGCTGATGACGACAGGAACTAAAATGTGCCAACTACAAGATTGATGACATAAACACAGGTTCAGATGAGCCTGGAAGTGGATTTTTACCCAGAACCTCTAGATGTGAATCCAGTCTGGCTGCCACCTTAATTTCAGCCATGCTGTCAAACTTCTAACCTACTGAACTGTGAGGTAATAAATGGGTGCTATTGTAAGCCACTAAATTTGTGATAATTTGTTACACAGCAATAGGGAATTAATACACCATCTGAACAAATAACACCTTCAAACATACACCAGAAAATCCCATATCGGTACAATACCAAATTCTGTTGACTCTATCTTCTAAATACATCTCAAATATATTCACAATTAGTTTTTTTAAACAAAGGTGTTTTTTTATTGATTTCAGAGAGAGGAAGGGAGAGGGAGAGAGAGATAGAAACATCGATGAGAGAGCATCATTGATCAGCTGCACACCCCCAACTAGGGATCAAAACCGCAATCCGGGCATGTGCCCTGACTGGGAATCGAACCGTAACCTCCTGATTCAAAGGATGACACTCAACCACTAAGCCGTACCAGCCAGGCCACAATTCTGAATTTCTAATTGTTACCTAACCCAAATCTGTATATCCCATCTCAACTTCTGCGATAGGCTTCTATCTGGTCTCCCTTCATCTTTCCTCCTTTTCTCTTCACAGCAATGGCAATCACTTTTTACAATGTAAAGTACATCTCTAAAAACTCCTTCAATGGCTTAGCACTGGGCACTCAGGGAAATGCCCAAACACCTCATCATAATCTACAAAACCCTGCAAGAAATGGCTCTGGCTACCTTTCCAGTCCCATTCCCTGTGATTCTCATGCTTGGACACGACACTCACACCACAGAGGCCTTTCTTCTAGTAACCCCGGTGTTCGAGGCCATTTCCCCTTCAGGACCATCTGTGTCGCTTCCTTTAACAGAAATGCTTTATTCCCCCACTCATCACCCCATAGTAACAAGGACATTACGTGAACATTACTGCTTCAGAGAAGCTTTAGAGTGCCAGGTCACCCTGTCAGAAACTCATAGAACCCTGTACCTTCTTCATAGAGTTTATCACAATTGCCATAGGGGATTCCATGATTATGTATGTAATGTCTTTCTGTTAGGTTTCATTAAATGAGGGTAGAAGCCATGCCTAATTTGCTCCCTGCTAAAACTCAACATTTGGTACGATGCCTGAATTCAACAAATCTTTAATGGATGAAAAAAAAAACTGTGGCTGTTTTGCCCAACTTATACATGGCAAAATTAGGTCAAAAGTATGAGTTTGATATGTGCGTGACCCCATTAGATTTGTCCTAATCTAGCGCTAATTATGGTGTTTCCTGACAAACAAATGCCCTTTATACCTAAAGGAAAAGCAGATGCAAGTTCATGGGAAAGGACTATTGCAAATCTACCTCTATGATCTGGTGTTCATGTCCTCATAGTGCAGCATCATATTTAGGTATGAAGGGAAACATTATCCTATTACATATTTTAATTAGCTTTTCCTCTTAGAAAAACATATATAACTCTACTCCAGATTACCGATGTGGCTAGAGGACAGAGTGCTTCACTCAACTAAATTTTCCAGGTAACGATGGGATAGTCCACTAACGTAGAAAACTGCCAGGTACAGGGCAGCCCTGTGCGCACTCTCCAGCTCTATGGCACTAGAACTCTTCTTTAAAAGCATGCCTCTATTTTACTGATGTTTCATTATGTATTTTTTTTAAAACCAAAAGTGCTATTAATTAATTAGAGACCTCATTTTTTTTCCATTTTTGGAGAAATACAAAAATAGCACAAACACCATATGACAGAGATTTTATTTAAGAAGCAAAACACTGGATAGAAAATCAAGTACCTTCTCATATTACCCATGGTATGTACATAGGTATTTATATGTGTATTTACTTAATTATATATTTACCTAATCCCTACCTTGGTCCAGAAAAGATTTAAGGCCAATTACTTAGATTAACTAAAGCATAACAAAAGGAGGAAGAAAGAAAAATAAAAAGAAAGTATAGGGACATAAAATGGTACCAGGAAGAGGCTCAAGATGCATGCCAGGCCACAACTTTATGTGGAGTAGGCCCGAGATCTGAAGCTTTCTAGCCACCAACTTGATAAAAGGGTTCTGCTCCAAGACCCACTTCAGAGGCTTCCTATGAAAAACAGAACAGCTGGTCAAGAGCAGCTCAGGCTTGTACCAAGATCAGAAAGGAATGTCTTCTTGGATTCCTTTAGAGAGGACAGCACTGTGCTTCTACTAAGCACAACACTTGTCCCCATTTTCTACGGAAACTGTGGTATAAATAACGAACTGCTTTACATTGCGATCATATTCAGTTACCAGGGCCTGGGGTAAAATTATCTCTTGGCTCATCCAATCTTAATCAAGATGTATCAGTTGCCTATTGCTGCTGCAAAAAAATTAACATAATCATCATGGTTTAAATTTGTTTTCTTATGCCCAGCCGACGTGGCTCAGTGGTAGAGCATCAACCTATGAACCAGGAGGTCATGTTTCGATTCTTGGTCAGGGCATATGCCGGGTTATGGGCTTGATCTCCAGCAGCTGATCAATGATTCTCTTTCATCATTGATGTTTCCATCTCTCTCTCCCTAAAATCAATCAATCAATCAATCAATCAATAAATTTGTTTTCTTATGGTTCTGGAGACCAGAAGTCTGAAACTGGGTTATATGGAGCTAAAATCAAGGGGAAAGCAGAGCTATGTTCCTTCCAGACACTCTGGGATACCCGCTCCTCAGCTAGAGGCTGCCCTGTTTCTTGGCTCATGGCCCCTCCAGCAATGGCAACACTCCAACAATCTGTTTTCATCACAACCCTTTCACTCTTGCAGCTTCCATCTTCACATCACCTTCTCTGACTCTGCCCCTCCTGGCTTCCTCTCATAAGCTCCCTGAGTTTACATTCGGCCCACTCAGATGTTCCAGGATTCTCTTCTCATCTTAAAATCCTTAGCTGAATCGCACCGGCAAGGTCTCCCTGCGATGTAAGGAAATATTCACAGGTTTCAGGGTTTGGACCTAGACATTGCTGACGGTGGTGGTGGTGTCTTTATCCAGACACAAGACTTTATCATTTACCTGTTTGAAGCTACCTAAATTGTAAAGATGGTGTCAGAAAATAGCACTATACGGCCAAATCAACATAATAAGAGTTAAGCCACACGCCCTGGCAGGTGCTGCTAAATGGTTAGAGCATCGGCCAACTGCCCTGAAGGTTTGCGAGTTCAATTCCTGGTCAAGGGCATGTACCTTGGTTGTGGGTCCACTCTCTGCCTCACAACCAATAGCTGCCTCTCTGAGGGAGGCAACCAATCGATATGTCTCTCTCACATCGATGTTTCTCTCTCTCTCTCTCTCTCTCTCTCTCTCTCTTTCTCTCTCTCCCTCCCTCCCTCCCTCCCCTCTCTGAAAAGCAATGGAAAAAATATCCTCAAATGAGGATTAACAACAACAACAACAAAAGCGTAAAGCCACAAATGGAGAATTTAACGAAAAATATTTTTAATCAATAGTTAATAATAAATTCTTTTTAAGTATAAGGTCACCTTCTACATCCAAATAATTTACTATACTACAAAAATACTGTTTATAAGGAAACCTTTGGAGCAGTGGTCACCAACCGGTGGTCCACGGACCACTGGTGGTCCATGAGGTCGGAAAGGTTGGCGACCGCCGGTTTATACAACTTTTTGCCAGGAACACACTGATTATATAAAAAGAAGCACACCTACACAAAAACTCGTGTGAAATAAAATAACTGCAATACCAAGTACTGAATTAAAAATCAGGAACTTTGCCTCTTTATTTTCCCTGCAGTCACAGGGGAGGATGTCTCCTCAATTTTCTTTTTTAAAGTGCGACAGCCACCTTACTTACCACTTTAGAAATATATAAAGTCCAAGAACTTATATGATTTTCAGACGAACAGCTATATCTGAGGCCAGACAGGTATTGCTAAAGACAAACATAATGAGGGAAAAATTCTATTTTAGACCCCATTCATTTTCCCTGGCAAACGAGAAGAACGTAGGAGGGCTCATACCTTCGAGGTGCACAGGGCAACGATTTTCAAGCAGGGTGCTGCAAGAATTTGTAAAACATGCAATACTTGACTGTTTAGTCAGGGACATTGACCTCTTTGCCCTTAGACTGTCAAATTTAAAAAATGACAACAGCCAATACAATAGTCGACCTGTGTGAATGAGTCAAAATTACACCTTTTTTTTTTTTTTTGTCAGACTGGCAGAAAATAAAAATTTTAGTGTGCCACTGAATTTTAGTAATTAGTTTACGTGTGCCATGAGATGAAAAAGGCTGAAAATCACTGGCATAAAGAGATCTATAAATCATTATGGAGATAACTATGAAAACCCCTCCCTCCCACTGCATTTTAGGATTGACATCTCTCAACAGTGTATTTAATTGTAGGCTTCAGTCAACACATGATAATATGTTAGATATTCCCTAGAGAAATTTTCACCAAGCATCATCTTTTTTTTCAATCCTGCCCACCAAACCACTCATGTCTCCAGGAATCTGTGGTTTCAGATTCTTCCTTGCATTGCAATAGAGGTTAATATAGAGCGTCTGATACAACAGAAGACACCACCTGAGAAGGTTTTTCCCATTATGGACTACAAATACAAAATAGACTTGACTCCCTCTTGACTTAAGAGCTGAGATATCACCTCCTTTGCCCAAATAGATCATTTTCTTAATCTCTAAAACTTGTAGAAAGTTAAGAGATTTTCCTTTAAGGTCTAGAGACTCTAGAGCAGGGGTGGTCTAGACCAGGGATGGGCAAACTTTTTGACTCGAGGGCCACAATGGGTTCTTAAACTGGACCGGAGGGCCGGAACAAAAGCATGGATGGAGTGTTTGTGTGAACTAATATAAATTCAAAGTAAACATCATTACATAAAGGGGTATGGTCTTTTTTTTTTTTTTTAGTTTTATTCATTTCAAACAGGCCGGATCAGGCCCGCGGGCCGTAGTTTGCCCACGGCTGCTCTAGAGTCTCTAGACTCTAGGGAATTAAGCTAGGATACTATCAATAACCTATTTATATTTTTAACCTTCTTACTGTACCCTATAAAACTAAAGATAGAGCACACATTCTCCTACTCTTCTCATGCAAGGAAAGTGTGAGAATAAATGGAAAAGTACTACAAGAATATTCACAGGAAGACACAAATACATATATTTATGCTTGTATAACAGAGTTGTGTTCTCACAGATAACTAAGATTGTCACTAGAATCTTTCAAAGTGTCTTTTTGTTTTGTTTTGTTAATCCTCACCAGAGGATATTTTTCCTTTGATTTTTAGGAAAAGTGGAAGAGAGAGGGAAAGACATAGAGAAACATTGATGTGAGAGAAACACACCAATTGGTTGCCTCCTGCACAAGCCCTGACCAGGGCCTGGGCCAGGGAGGAGCCTGCAACCAAGGTACATGCCCTTGACCACGATCAAACCTAGGACCCTTTGGTCTGCAGGCCGACACTCTACCCACTGAGCCAAACCAGCTAGGGCTCAAAGTGTCTTAATGTAGACAATCATCATGTTCCTAAAGAGCTAATTATAAATTAAATCGCTATAAATAGAATCCTATTTTAAAAGCATCAGGTAACTGTTGTTTTCAATGGGATTCAATCATGAATCCTTTAGTAAAACAGAATTATCTTTTAAAGTAAATCCCTACTCCTCCTGACTTTTGTCTATACCAAGATTTCCATAGTAATTCCAAATATTTAAAAAAACATACAGGGTGGGGCAAAATTAGGTTTACAGTTGTTCCTATGGAAAATTATACAATAATAAATAATAATACAAGAATAAACTCTGTGTTTCATGTACTCCCAGCTGTAAACCTACTTTTGGCTCCAGCTTGTACATCTGATAAGAGACTTGTATGTAGAATACTTAAAGAACTCTCACATCTCAATAATTAAAAGACAAATTAACCAATTGAAAAATAGGCTAAGGATTGTAATAGACAATTCCCCAAAGATATGCAAATGCCCATAAGCACATGAAAAAATGTTCAACATCATTAGTCACAATGGAAACACAAGTCAAAACCATTGATACCCTTCATACTCACTAGGATGGCTATAAGCAAAAAGACAGACAATAACAAGTGTTGACAAGGATGTGGAGAAATTGGAGCCATTGTACATTACTTATGGAACTGTAAACTAGTTCAGCTACCTTGAAAAACTTATAAAGATAAACAGACTTACCATGTAATGCAGTAATTTTACTCTTAGTATCTACCCAAGAGAAGTGGAAACACAGGTCCACAAAAAAACTTGTACACAAATGTACAGAGCAGCATTATTCACAAAAGCCAAAGGTGAAAACAACCCAAATGTCAATCAACTCCTGAATGGATAAACAAAATATGGTATAGCCATACAATGGAATACTACCTATCAATTTAAAAAAGGGTAGTGCTGATACATGCTACAACATGGATGAATCTTGAAAACACTGTGTTCAGTAAAACAAGCCAGTTGTAAAGACACATATTGTAAAATTCCATTACATTATATTGTCCCTAGGCAAATATATAGAGAAAATAGAATTATCAGTTGCCTAGGACTGGGGATGGGTGGTGGGAATGTGGAGTGACTGATATAAATAGGTAAGACATTTCTTTTTAAAGTGATGGAAATGGTCTAAAATCAGATTGTGGTGATGGTTGTATAACTATAAATATACTAAAATTCACTAGATTGTACACTTAAAACAAGTAGATTTTTTTGTTATGTAAACTAGAGGGCCGGTGCACAAATTTGTGCACCGGTGGGGTCCCTTAGCCTAGCCGGTAATCGGGGCTGATCAAGGCAGCAAGGGAGGTTGGCTGTGGGAGCACACTGATCACCAAGGGGAAGCTCCTGCATTGAGCATCTGCCTCCTGGTGGTCAGCATGTGTCAGAGCGACCTGTCGTTCGGTCATTTGGTCGCTTAGGCTTTTATATATATAGATGATATCTCAAAAAAAGCTAACATAAAAAAACATTGTGGCTTCCACCTTGCTCT